GGTCTTTATGGGTTAGCCATCTACATGAAACTATTATCTTCATGTTTCTCGTCTTCGTGATAAAGATACAAAATGTTGCATATATTGATGTTGCTTCGTAGCACACAGTCAGAGAAAAGAAAACCAAATTACTAAGTACCTATCTTTGTAAGAGTATCGTAGAGAAAGCTGTATGCCACTATTATTTTTCTCTTTTTAAAGCCAACAATCAGCGAACATCTTGACTTTTGTAGAATGAGGAAAAACGATATGGAAAGGAATAAAAGGGCACACGCCTCATGTACTGTGGTCTGACAAAGAAAATAGTTCTCTTATCATCCAATTAGAAGTCAAATAAACTATTGTTAATAAGCCATCTTGTTTCAGTACGATTGGAAAAACATATACATTGTTTTATCTATGATCGATGGAAGCAACAGATGAGCAACTCGAATTGGTCGAGTTGGGGCAACCGAGAAAAACGACTGAAGTCTCAAATGAATTAGAAGATACCGAATTGAAACCTTTCTTGATGTGAGTATAATCTACTTGTTACATTCGATATTTTACATCTTTTTATTTTTTATATATAGCTTAGTACTCATTTGTTCGCTGTTTCCATGCACAGTGTTAATCATTGCCGTGTATTTCAAAGACTTATGCCCGATCAATCGTAGTATTCCTGGATACATGATTGTTTCTAGCTCGTGCAATCTGGTTCTCATTGCTTTTGTCAGTTCACTTATCATGTAAGTGAAATAAAAAAAAGAAAATTTGTTTATCTCTTTTTGGATCTGTCAATAAATAGAATCGTTGAACTGTCAAAAAATTCGAATGATAAAAACAACGAATCATCTAAAAAATGTCGCTGCTGTTCAATCGAATGTTGGATACTCGTACCAATTGCAGGACTTATCTTGTTCTTGATTATTCGAGCTTGCTCTGCAATACCAATGATTATCGCCGCTCATGGTCAGGTTCAATTCGGTGATCAAACCAACGAGGGAACCTACTGCCATCCTGTATTATATTGGGCATTTTTCATTTACACAATCGGTGCAATGATACTGGCCGTTTTCTTCTGTTGTACTCTACGGTGTGTGATACCACAAGGACATCGATTTTTCCTATTTTCGTAGGACAAACACATGTTCATATTCTCGTTCTACATCATTAGTTCACTAGTCACACGATGATAATATAAATGATGAAGAGGTTTTCCTTTTGACTTTACTTGAAATTGAAATATGTAACAAGCAGATATCTCAAAACGACATTAGCAAGAAAGATCTACTTTTTCGCAATTGAGAATCGGATTCATTCAAACTGAAATAATCATCGGAAACAATGAGAAATAGATTTTGATTTTATGATTGTTTTTCACAAAGTCTAACAAGAAGATGGAAAAGGTCTCAAATAACTTCACCTTGCCTAATGAAACACAGCGTATGAGACAATGTTTGTCATAATTGTGGTATTCGTAGCACTATAGTGAACCGCACTAATGAATAGTTACTAAAAGTCTCAATGAGCCTTCGTTATTCTTCTTTGATGGCAGCTCCGCACTAGGAGATAAGGTCCTAATCAGTGAAATTTCTTTAATAAAAGTACGATGAAAGACACTCGTTCCAGCAATTTTAAACTGCAAGATTATGAAGAATATTAAAAATCAATGTCAATCAAGTAAGATATCAATCCATAAGAGAAGCTTGTGCATTTGAGTGCCTGTGTGGGTATTCGTGTGGCTGAACAGAAGATTAACACTCACCTTCAAACTATGATTTATTTGGAAGATACCTGCAGTTCATATAGGAGATCAAGAACACAGAGATGTCATAATATCCATAAGCTGGGTGTCCGCGAGTTACTAGTCACGATATCCAGTGAAATGGGTACCCCAAAAAAATTGAATACCCTATTTTTAAAACGTGAGAAATTTTAGTGAGCTTGAAGTAACTACGCGGCTCTCGATGGAAACTAACTTTCAATCATTCTGAAAGACTTCTGGTTGAACTGAAAACTAAATAAAATATAATTGAATGTACAGAGAATCTTATCCTGCGGCAACACCACGGTTTATTTAATATATCTTTGATGAAACAATGTACTCAATTAATTGCTTCGCAGTTAGTGGAGTAGAGTTAAACGTTTTGACTTTGCTACCAAACAGACAGATCCAAGCTGGATTCCACGTAAAGCACTATAATACAGGTCGATAATAAACTTCAAATAGCAAAAACGTTTTTACAGAATTATTTTGATATAATCTTGGAATACAGTGAAGTACGCTGAAGTGCAGCATTTTTGCTATTCCTCCCTGGGCACCAACACACGACAACCCACAAACAGCACAGCACCTGGTGTAGGTGCCGCAAAAGAACTGGCACACGCGACAGTAAACACACAGCACAGCACCTCCTGTGGATGTTGGTGCATGCATGTTACTCTTGTACGCTTCCGGATCCCACGCACATCAACACACAAACCAACGTCCACACTCCCACCAACACCGACTTTTCGCGTATCTATCTCCTTACACCAAATTCACTCAAATTCCTCAGCTTTTAAAGATAGATTATCCATTTTGGGTATCCATCTAGTTTTTCAAGCACACTTCATTCATGTAGAAATTTTTAGACAGTCTCGCTTTTTTTAATTAATATATTTGCTATTTTCAATTAGAAGTAAGACATTCTAAGTATAAAATAGTAAGAATCAGAACTTCGAATGAACTTAACAGTTTAAGAGAAGTTTCAGTGATACTACCATTGACTATTTTACTCGCAATATTACATAGATCAATCAATAAGCAGCTAACTAGAAACGTTACGAGTCTGATAGTTATTATTTATAAATCTATGTGACAGACAGGTCGTGATTTAAGCAGTACTAACTGTGATTCTTTAATCATGACATTAGAAATCATTTTTAAAAGGATGCAAGCATAGATGCATTCTTATGTTTTATATTACGTGTACATTACTTGATGAAAATCATGCGTAAATTTCTCATTTATGGTAAGCATCAACAAAATTATATTGTGATTAGCGAGAATAAGTAGTCAGAAAAACGTTTTACAATTAATATACAGAAAGATAATAAAATTGTCGATAAACAGATATCTAATTGTAAAGTATGTTTATGCGACATCGTAGAGTCGGCGAATATTTTCAATTAAAATTTAGGTTGTTTTTAGAACGTTTTAGAGCATGCCGAGTTTTCTTTGACTAATAATATCGACGGATCATTAAAACTTATGCTTATATCAGTATTATGTTTTTATTCGTATTCGTTTATCTTCTAATAACTAAAAGTAGTTTATATAGAACGTGTGAAGTAAACAACAAATTATATTGTGAAATTTTTTTGAGTAATTTTCGAATTATAAGAAAAAAATGAACGATTTTAAAGCATGTGTTTCGTGCCATAAAATAATATATGTCTTGTATCTAAAATTACTACTGACAAAATTAATAGGTTCATTTATTTGGGTTTAATAGAAGAAAATTATTTCTTAGTTTTGTGCCTAATCTAAAGAAAATTGTGTCTAGAATATAATTTAATCTATTGGCGTACTTATCTATCGAGGAGTCATTGTATTGCATGAGGGCGATGATCGAATCTCGCATACGCTGCTCAACAATATTTCCAATAGTGGTGTTCATTCCAACAATCGATAGTGATACTATACTGTAGTACCATTATCTATTGCCAGAATGAAAACCACTATTGGAGAAAACCCTTGATCAACGTATATTATATTCGATGGTGGTTCTCGTGTAATGACTCTTAGTAATTGTAAGCAACTTGTTGCAGATTATAATTAGTATTACTAAGAAAGTTTTTATGCATTCCACGCTGATGAAATCTTCTTAGAAGTAAATATCATTACATGTATAATTAGTTCGTAGAAAAAAAGTATTGAAATGTTTCAGTCGCTATTTTAAATATTTTTATTAATATTTAGATATTTTTTTAAATTATATATTATATCTGAAAATCTCTAACAGATTAATTCAGATTGAATTCAATTATTTAGTTAAGGTAACAACATATTATCGCACTATGAGCGAGTTGAGGAAACAGAATAGTTGAATATCTAAACAATAGCATTTCAAATACAAGAGTCCATTGTAGATTCAAACAGTTTTGTAATATATCCCAAAAAGATGTCGTTGACGCGATGATATTGTCAAGAATTCTCGACCAACTACTCTTTCAAAAAAATGCCACTTATATAACGAAATAAGCAACTCTATAATAAAAATCTTTTCTGACAAGTTATACATCAAATATCAAAGAAAGTATGCTTCATAAAAAGTTCATTTATTAATAGAATGATTTCTAAAGAAAAGATTTAATTGATTATGAACAGTACAAAGTTCATTTTATATACAAGAAAAACCCTAAAAATATTGTTCAATTGTGGAGAAAGAATGATTCTCGGTATGTGACAATACCAATACTAATTGATATCAAGCGATATTGGCATTGAATAGAATTTCATATTAATTGTTGTTGATACTGATATCAGTCAATAGTAGTACGTCAATATCGTATTGGTGTTGTATTATGCCTAAATATTTTGATTAATCAATAAAAAATTTTCTTCAATGATACTCTTTATAAAATATATGTCAGAGAGAAACATGCTATCTTGATCATACTGACAAGGGCAACGCGTCATTTATTGACACGAGAAGAGTGCTTCATTGAAGACTAATTGGCAAAGTAATCCGTTGGCAGGCATAAGCTGGATAAATCTATGAAAGTCATTTATATACGTGCAATTATTTTATATTTCTCATCCAATTAGAAAAAAAGGTGCAAGATGGATATAAATGCAGATGCGCATATGAAGTTAGATTTGACTTGGATCAAAAAATCATTCACCTGTGCATCATTTGATAAAAGTGAGTTTATTCTAATTAAAGTGGTTTATGCATGTTTTCAATGTGCTAGAACATAAAACACAACATAATATATTTTTGCAATTGCAGATTTCAGAAGAGAAGAGAAAAATGTCGTCAATTAGTGAATTAATAAGCTCAATAACAATTTATCTTGGTGTCCCCATACTTATGTGTGGTACTTTTGGAAATTTACTTAATATTCGTCTTCTTTGGCGAACTCGTCAAAATCCATGTGCATTTATATTTTTGGCTATATCATTTATTAATTGTATTGTTTTATTTTTTCGTTTATTTATTAGAATATTAAGTGTTGGTTTTCATCTTGATTTGTCATCTAAAAATCTTATTTGGTGTAAAGCGAGTGCTTTTTTTGGTCAAGCTAGTTTTTTAATATCATTAACATGTACTTGCTTAGCAAGTATTGATCGATTTCTTGTTAGTTGTCGTCAAGAAAAATACAGAAAATTAAGTCGATTGTCAATAGCTATATGGGCAGTAATTCTGACATTTATATTTTGGCTAGCTCTTTTCATTCCTTTTGTGACAAATGCTCAAATAGTACAAAATGCTTTTACGGGTTTATTTTCTTGTATATATGTTGGAAATCAAGCTTTTGTTAATTATCAAACATATTTTGCATTTCCCGTTTATTATGGCTTATTACCAAGTACAATTCTGACAATAACAGGTCTATTGACATATAGAAATACAAATAAATTACAAACAGGTCGTCAAAGAAAATTAGTTCAAAGACAATTAACAAAAATGATGCTCATACAAATTCCAATAATACTTTTTTCAACATAACCATATGTAATATTTACAGAATATTCAACATTTACTGCAACAATGAATAAATCTGCTAATCAAAGAACTGTTGAACTTATCATCACAAATATTGTTATAGTTACATGTTATATAACATTTGCATGTCCATTTTTTGTTTTTTTAGCTTCATCAAAGCCATTTAGAGAAGAAGCAAAAATGTTTTTTTTATGTCGAAAAACAACTTTATTTAGAATTAATCATGTTCAACCGCATTCCTCAATTATTATGGGAAATATACAATCTGCAAGAACAAGAACTAAATAAATTCTATTTTATTCCACAACTATGATTAGAAATATGACACCTAGCATAATTAACGAACAATAAACGCTTTACTTACTGTCAATGTATTTTATTTATCTTATGTTGTTTGTTCGTACATTTATATTAATTATATTATTTTTTATTGTAAAGAAATAAAATGGATTGTTGTCGCTCTATCTGTAATATCACTTATAGTGTTATTAAATATTTGTTCAATTCTAAAAATAATCTAATAAATAAAGAGGTAAATACGATGTTTCATTTTTATTTCAAATGTTTGAAATCTATCATGGAAAAAAGTGAAATAACAAATGAATAGTGGGGTCTTTACCCAAGTCAAATAAGCACGGTCGTAAACGGATATTTTGGATGATGTATTCGTCGTTTGATTGCCATATTATGACTGTACTTTCCTCTATTATAAGCAATCAAAAGGGGGTTACATGTTCAATAATTTTCTATACAACTTACAAGTCAGTGTAACCAAGCGTTACCGAATTCTATTTTTTTTTACATTATAGCATCCATTCCTCGTCGATGGAACAAAAGCAAATTCTTTGAAACTTTTATTATACATAGAAACTAGCTATATTACCTTCAGTAAAAATTTCGCTGATCTTATTTCAGTTCGAGCTGAACTACGTAGATAATGCCGGCCATTCCTAATTGTCGAAAACTGCAATTCATTTGTTTAGCAGAGCTAAGAGCTTACCATTTCACTACGAAACGAAGTGACACAAATAGTTTCTATTTAAAAGTTGTTCTGCTTTTAACAAGTCTTCTGGATATTAAGTCATTTCTTAACCAATATAACTTCATAGAACAACACACTAAAAGTAGAGTTCGTGATGGGTTTTCACCCTTTTCCAAAAATCGTACTTTGGAAACACGATGAAAGTTAAAAGTTAAAAGCAACTAGATATTCGCCATCAACATCGGATTCTGCATCAAGTGATATATTTCTCAGTAGTATCAAAACATTTTTCAACGTTTTCTATCAGAGAAATATTCGAGAAAAATAAAAATTCAAGGCTTCATTAACTAAATACGTCATTTTATTTTAAATTCAATGCTTATTTCAAATATATGTAAATTTGTGTATACTTATGGAAAAAAACTGTAAAAACGATTAATGATCTAAAAACACTACAAAAATCGAATACTAATGAAATAGAAAATCGTTGGGAATATTAAATTAAACTGCACTCAAAATGGGTAGGACTCAGCGGAAATTGTTGACCTTTGTCTGGAAACGTTGTTTTTGTTGCGAAAATTAGCAACATAAGCGAACAAAATACGTATATAAGTGAGTTTTGTTACGGAATTTCGTCAAGACTAGTGACGATTTTTGAACACAATATCTTGGTTCGTAGACATTTATCATTTGTAATAAAGTCATACGTCGAAAGAGTATTTTGTATCAGATCGTTTAATACTTAATTGGAATTTTTTTAAATACGCTGATCGATCCTTGATTGACGATGTTATTCCACCGCCATTTTTCACCCAAACCTTCGAGTTATTCGCACTAAAAAAGATTTCACATGTCTAGAACACTTAATGCTGTTTAGAGATAGAAACGCTTTCATTTGAAATACTATCGACTGTTCTCGTGCTAATAATAGACACCAACTTTCTCTAATTTTAAGTTTGAACCTTCCCAACGTTTGGGTGACCGATGGTTGGTCTTGGCCATACTAAAGTATAAACATTCAAATGCTTCATAAAAACCATTTAATAATGAAAGAAACTTTCACACACCAACTTCTTCTAGATTTAATGGTAAACATTAACAAAAATATTATTTATATTAGGTTGTTCCAACTCATTTTTTTCTATTTATATATACTCAGCGATTCATTTTATCTAGATAAGAACATTGTGTTCAGTATGAGATCTTATTATATTTTAATGTAATTGAACATTCGAAGAATCATTATGTGTCCGATCATTTGGTAAACTTCTTCAATATTAAGAAGTGTATGCAAGTTGAACATGGCGGAAGAATTTGTTTTTTCGAATTTCTATTTCTTCTTTTGATACACTTATTCTCTTGGCTTCAAAAAGTTTATTCATTGACTTTTTTCGTCTTCTTCATAAAACCGAGCAAGCTTTCTATTCATGATATTCTTTTTTATATTTAATTAGGATTAAACCCCTCTTTTTTAAATGTAAATGACATATGCAGCTTATCTTTTTGTCATATTATTTTTCCAGGGTACTTTTCTAAATATGACACATTTATTAACAAATGTAGGTTTGATTCCAAGTTACTTTAAAATTTATATGAATTAAAAAGAAACATTAGTCTATATTTAAGTTGTCGATTTGTTGGTGGCATTGATCAATTGTGTATCTTTTTTTTCCTAATTAATATTTTTTAATTGTTGACGAGATTTTCGTACTTTCAAATATCAACATAAACATTCCTTGATATTTGATTAAATTTTAAATAAAATATGCCAATATTGAGTAGCCACGAAAAATTTGGTGTCAATTTGGTTCAATCAGGAAATAAAGGTAGTTTGATATTAACCAAGCGAACGACGTAAAGGATAGTCACGACGAATTAATTCTCCAACAATATATCCAATTGTATAGTCATGATATCTATGCATTTATTTAGGTGTCCAATGGGGTTTGAGTGTGGGTATTGGTGAATAAAAAAAAATCAGCACCCGTTCACCCACCGAAACCCACATCCACCAACATCTACCCACCCACCCATACCAACACCCACATCCACACCCTCAAGTACCCTTTTCTATTTCCTTTTTTCAGTTAAGAAAGTGAGTTTGTTCTTCTTTTTTTGAGAACGCATGGCTTCTGAATAAGAATAATGCTACTCAAATGAAAAAACGAGTGTGTTCTGTGAGGTTTTTTGCTAAAGAAGGATGAGAGACGTTTTTTCGGGAGATGAAAAAAGAAAATATAAATAAATAGATGAATGAAAGTAACCTTGGGGTGTAGATGAGACGTGTGCATCGATGTGAACAATTGGCTAGGACAAGACGATCCCACCTCTGCCAGCACACACACTTATATCAATTTTGGTAGTTGCTATATGTGTAAATAGATTTAGTCATCTGGAGCGAATAGTGCTTTGTTTATAGCTATTCTGTGTGAAAGAAAGAAAAAGAAAAAGCCATCGACCTTGCATCGTAAATAAAATAATTGAAAAGCCATAGGACTTTTTTTATTCTTTCTTGTCCAGTTATAGTAATACATTTGATCAATTTCTTTTACTAATTTCTTTTTATCATTACTTTATTATATGCACAAGTTGTGAGGAATTCAGTCTAATAAAAGAATTCTGCATATCGTGTAAATAGACCTCTTTCAAGGAACTTTGCAGATATTAAAACGTTAACAGAGATATGCCGCTTGTTTATTTTGATAAAAATGTTGGCTCTCTTCATTTATTGAAGGAAACATTAAGAAGAGCTATGGAAAATATTCGAAAATTGTATCGTTATATCGATGGGATATGGATACCATTATCATATCGCGTATTTGGTCTTCCTGATAATATTGGTGGAGGTCCTGGCAGTGACGAAAAAAACAGATTTGATCTGAACTAGAGAAGATGTTGCACTGATTACTAATTTTCTAAATAAGCGTCAACGAGTTCTGGCATAAGTCGAAAACATTTGAGTGAACAAAATCGACAGCTTCAGCTAGAAAACATTCATTTTCCCGCGTCAGCTTGTTCGACACATATTAAGAAATCAAAGAGCTCTTAGAACCAGAAACGCGCTTCTCTTCGAACCCAGCACGTTTAGTTAGTTTAGTTCCATATCAATATAATTTACGATGCAGTTCAATATCTGACTGATACTACTTATCCGTTCGATGATAACGGTGCCATGTTCATTTACCTTACTGGTCATGGATTATCAACAGAACTAGCTAAAGATCTTTCTGATGTTGAACGTAATTTTAAAAGTAAACTTTCTCAATACAAGAAGTATCCAAGTACTGAATCTAATTTTGGACGTCTTTACGAAAATGAAGAATTGCAAGGAGGTGAAATCATTGCATATATTAAATTTGCTAGCGTCAAATTGTTTATCGAGGAATTCATTGAAGTCTGTAGGCGAAACAGGTACGAATTTAGAAATATTGGTATTTTTGTGGAAGAACCACCACTCAAATGTCGTCATCTTATCATCTTGGTTGATGCATGTTTCACTGGGCATTGGATTACATCACTCAATGACGACTTCTCTTTAGTTTTTGTCGAAAACACCAATATATCAATAACAGTACAAATATCAACTGATAGTGACACATATTTCTATGGTTATGTCTTCACTTCTTTATGTGTTAAATTACAAAATCTTGATCGAATAGAATTAAATTGATGTGTGCAAGACTTTATGAATGCGCATGATAAACAACATTATGTCCAAGAAATACAACAGTTGCCAAAATTTTCTTATTTCAAAAGTGATTTAAGTAAAAAAGACGGTAAATTGTATTTTAAAAATCATGAAAACGATTGGAAACATGTACTGTATTTTACTGTACATAATCTACGATTTTTTTGTTGACAAAGAATTCTTTGCCTATTTTACTCATCAATACAAATATGAGTTACCAGAAATGGATACAGAGAGGGTACCAAGATCTATTCTTGATAATGAAGAAGGTTCAACATTTTTGAGAATGTTAATTACAAAAAAAATGGCTATACGTGGTATGAAACTGACACAGTATGATCGTGATAAAACATCATTATGTATCATAGTTATTCGTTCAACAACAAATAAATTTATTAAGACACAAGATGTTTTATCGTATAATGACGAATATTGGCACCATCTACATGTTCATTATGACGGCAAGGATAAATATCCTGATGCTATTACCAATATAAAACTAGTTTATGCACTACAAGACAAATTGAGGTATTTTGAAGAAGGCAAATACGCAGATGCATCAATTAATGACGAGAGTGATTATCAGAACATTCGTAGACAAAAAATCAATGAGCCCATCGGTAATTGGACGCAATATCGCCGAAATTTTGAAGAGTGCTTGAAGAATTGAGTAAAAGTCAAAAGGATGGTCTTAAAATATGGGAAAACAAAGACAACTGGAATAGTGTGAATCCTACTCGGTTTGGCAACGTGGCAGTTCGAAATAGTTCACGCTGCCTAATTACAAAAGATATTGACGTCAATCAATTAATAAATAAAATAGCTCAACAAATTAGTGCGTCGACATCTGATGAATCTGAAGAACTTGCGTCTAATGAATCAGCAGAATTCACGTTGAACGAACCTGAAGAATCGACATCTGATAAGCCTGAAGAATCCCACTAACTCAATTACTCTGTTCAATAATTCGTTATAGTCAGCGTGTTCGATGAATAATATCGATTATAATAGAGATTTGCTGCAAATTTAATACACGAAACTTTGCTCGATAAACAATGAAATATATAAATGATGTGAGCACATCAAACGATGAACTCTTTTGATCTTGCTATAGAGTTTCATATTCGAACCTATCCGCGAAAGGTTCGAAGTAACTCAACATTTCTGAGCTCATATTTTGAGAACATCGAGAGTATCTGTGGAATATAATAGTCCAAAAATGATTTGGTTTCATCACCTTTCTATCTCTTGTGTAGACATGTGTAGGACCAACGTTTTTTGGCTACGGTCCCAGTTCCAGTCCTTATGATTTGAGTATTTTGGTCTCCGTTCGAGTATATGACAAATCGCAGTGATAAGATCGCTGAGATTTCGCCCACTAAAATATAAATAGTCAAATTAGGTATACAGTTTGGTAGATAAATAGATATATAGATATATTTAGAGAGAGAGAGATAAATCAGTAAGTATGTTAGCAAATAGATACAGTGAAATGCGGTAGTATTTACCCTAAGTATTTCGATTATTTCTCTGACTGAATATGAGAAATCTGTGAGAAAATATATCCTGAATTAAGCTAGGAATATAATCTCTGTCAAGAAAGTCTTAGCACAAAATACTCGTTCATTGCTCGGTCATTTAAAGGCAACTAGTGAGAATCAAAAGCAGTTAGTGAAACTCAGAATTTTGTGCTCTCTCCAAATACAGACTCGGAAATATTGTGTCTCTTTTTGCTCGAGAATAGTGATAGAATCTTTGGAAGGTCTAAAATAAATTGTTTGGAGGGAACGAGTGAGCCAAAGTTTCTGGGCACAATATCTGTTCACTGTTGGTCTGCTTGCAAGAGTTTCAGACTAGATAAACAATATGGATTATGACTAGTATTACATGCTCTTTCTGAATATGGACTCAGAATTTGTGTGTCTGTTTTTTCTCGAGAGAAGTGAGAGAATCTTTAAAAGGTTTAACAATTGGTTTGGACGACGAAAAAAACAGGATTTTGCTAGCTTCCATAAGTCCATTTATGAAGGTGCTAAAAATTATTGAAGTTGATACTTTTCTTGAACGAACAGTTCTTTACAAAATATGATATCGCACTGAGCTATAGCTTGAAGCTATAAGCAGTTTCTGAAGAACTACTTTCTACGTAAAGCATGCTTTTGTAAAAAAAAACATCGATTTTTCGCAAATGAGGATGATAGAAAAATCAAAATTGAAATGTCTTATCATAAGGCAAAAGGAAAACCAAATAGTATGTTTTCAAAGGTAAATTTTTCTCTACAAGCTGATATATCAACAAAAGCTCTAATTTTGAGTTTTGGATCCCAATAGTGAAAGCGTACTAAAACATTTTCTGTCCAAAGAATGTTTTTTTAGGCCTTTCAAAGACTTCATCGCTACTGTCGAGCGAAAAGAGACACAAAATTTCTGAATCCATATTTGGAGAGAGCGTAAAATTCTGAGTCTTACTAACTGCTTTTGATTCCCACTAGTTGCTTTTAAGTGACTGGAAAAGGAACGAGTACTTTATGGCAAGACTTTCTTGACAAGGGTTACTATTGTTCGGGTCAAATGAAAGAGAACTCTCGATAACCTATAGATCGGTCCGAACAACCGCATGTTTTCTCCATAAAATAAGAGGAAAAAACGATTTTCGAAGAAAATAATGAGTCTAAGTTTTAAGGTCAAGTTTTCGCGCCCCCCCCTCCCTCTCCATTACAGACCTTAGCAACTGAGAATAAAAGATGTTAGATTTTCAGGAGTTTTTGTTTTGAAAAATTGATCACGTTAGAATTTTGAAAAATAATGAATATCATCATTTGTGACTTGATTAATATATATGATAGTGTGTAAGATCTGCTGTAGATATCATAGATATGTAAAATACACTTATTTGTCAATAAATTTAATGATTATAATAATAAGAATGATAAATTAAGAAAAACGAATTTAGAAAAAAAAAATAATGAGCGTATAGCAACAATGAAAATAAAAAATTGGGCGCCCGTAGAAAAAAAATAAAAAAAATTGTTCGAAATGCAGAAATTGGAGAATTTTTTACTTCAGTGATTAATTATCCTGAAAAAACAATTATAGTTTACGCGAGATTTTTCATTTTATGTTTTTGTATTAGTTTAATGAGGCTAGAGAGCATATGTGAGTTCCACATTTCAGCTCCGAAGGGGTTGTGCTAACAAGCTTTTTTCGCTTATTCTAAGGACAAAATGTGGGACTGTTCGGGCCGATCTATATATTATCGAGGGTTCTCTTTCATATGACGGGAACAATAGTATGTTCTGTCCTTAAAATAGAGAAGAAAACGGCTTTCTCAGATCTGATTAGTCCATAACTAACGATTGTCAACCAGTGAAGAAACATTCACGCACATATGAGCTGTCGTGAGCATGAGCGGTAAAGCCCGACTATGGGTACTCTTATAGGACACTCTGAGGATCTATGGACACCCCCAGAAGATAAGGCTCGATAATCTATGCGTACCCCTATGGCGTAGCCCTTTAGGACCCATGTGTATCCCCATATTATAGGCCTTGAGTGCCTGTGAGTATCTCCATAGGAAAGACTTTGAGAACTTTTGATTACTCATCTTCAATAGTGCTAATTAGATGAGTATCCACTTTAGTTAGTCCTATCGAGAAGAGTACTAATTAAGGTGAGTACTAATTAATAAACTAATTTACAATTACATAATGCTCATAGTTCATGGGTTGAATTGATGGGAGCCTGCTATTTGTGATAAACTTTATAACATGAACTGAGGTCAAAAAGTAAAATATGGATGCGTCAACGAGCTCCAAATTTGGAGTTTACGCGCTTTGAAGCTCACTTTTTTTATCCGAAATATGTGACAAAATAAGTTGTATAGATCTTAGGTGCACATTATCAAGATAGAGACTGAGAGAGATTGTTATACATTTCTCACTTCTCTTTTGCTCAAGATTGTTCTTCTTAACTTGACATTACCTGCATATTTAGATATACGTACATATGTGAATAGTTGGTTTCTTCGCTCATTATTTCTTAGAGAAGAGAAAAAGGTGACACAATAGCGCGTATACCTTTGCTTGCAAGCAGGCAAGACACAGGTAAAGAAAAGTAATTATGAATGTAATATAAGGTGTGGATAGTCTATTACAGAAAGAAGGGGGACAATTAAGAATTTGGGTACTGGAAGTTGATGAGCAATGTGGTCTTCTGTTCATACACATAGTACTAACACGCACACTCACACACTATCGGAAGGAGAAAGTCGAGAACAATTCACAAAATGACTCTGTATTTCACTTAATGGAATTTCTTGTGATGGGTAAAATAAAGAAATTCATTTGAAAAATTGAAGAAAAACATGATAAAAGAATTTTGTATAATTTTCTGTTTGAAAAAAGGTTTTCTTTAGGATTCAGTGAAACTGTAATTGTTACTCAATATACTATCACTTTCGAAAGATACATAAAAATCGGTATTCATTTTTGAAATATCAAGCATTTCAACAAAAAAATAGTCAAAATATTCACTATTCACCTACTTAATTCTTAAAATTGTAGAGAAATTTTAGTGAAATAAAAGTAAATTCGACCACTTGAATACTCATTCCAGACAAATTCAGTTTCTCCTGAAATATAGTCAACCAACTTGTTAATATTTCATTGTTAAAAAAACAAACAAAAGAGATTTTTTTAATGTTATAAATAAAAAATGATCATATTTTTGAAACTGTGTGTTAAAGTATGAATTGCCAGAAGATGGATCGTTTGACTAATCTTTGTTGAAAACAACATGAATCATGCAAATGATGATACTAACGTGTACGGTTGGACTTTTAAAGTAGATTTTTTATTTGATTCTATAAAAGTAGCATAGATGTCAGTTTGAAGATGTCGTTTGACATGATCCTCGTGAAATTGATTTAATGTATCTCGAGTCAGTGGTCCATAAACACTATTACCTGTTCGATCTAATGCAAACAATTGTTTCGCACCAAGAGTTTTTTCAACAAATGGTATAAGATCTTTTTGTGGTGCTCGATCAGTCCACCAAGCTGTGTATTCAAAAATTAAATGATGAATACGCTTTTCATGAAATAATTTTTCAGCCGAACGAAGTGCATTTAGTTCGAAACCTTCGACATCGATTTTTAACATAAGAATAGACGATTGTGGTGGCCATTCAACATCATCAAGACGAATCGTAGATGCACGCAACGTTCCATTAGATATTGTTGTTGTACCACCACTCAGAGAAAATGTTAGTTGAGAATGGGAAGGTAAATCACTGACGGCATTTTGTATAACTCGAACACGTGAAGTAGAAAAATTATTGAGTGAAATCGATGTTCGAATGAGATCAACCATACTCGGTTGAACTTCAAAGAAAAAGACTTGACAATTACATGCTGCTGCATATAATCCAAATTCTCCTGTTAATAAGAAAAGAAAAAGACGTAAAATTTTATTCTGATCTTCTCATTTGACATAGTTGAATAAAACGATTAAACTGGTATATTATTTAAAATGCTTCGCTGTATGCGAGATACGTTGATGATATAAAGTCTTTACAATAGTCCCCTACAAAGATGCAAAGTCTACTGCTAAAATGGAAAATTTTCTCGAACAGAGATAATTCTTGAAAAAAATGTCTCCTGCTATCAAAACAAAGGAAAAGTCGTTTTCTCTTTTTCACTCCCGCACATTCGAAGAAAGTGTCAGTTTTCATTTCAAAATGCAACGATTTATATAGTTAAATAAATGAAGAAGCTGCTTCGATATTTTCCATTAATAAATAAATCATAGAAACTGTGTACGAAGCTCCTGCTCTTATTCATACAAGATAAACATTTCTTTAGTCGAATATCCAAATTAAAAAAAAGATTTCCTACAGCTAGTAGTCTTTCAAAATTTTCACAGGCTTGAAGCATTCGTGTCCTCCTCCTCCCTCCCCCCATCCGCGTGCATTGGTGCACACTAGTAGATTCTGTACATTTGGTTTCTCACGCATACGTAAAAATGTTTTAGCTATCTGATTCAAAGTATGACTATGTATGTGCTGAAAAAGGTGCTAAATATGATTACCAAGGAAAGCACCAACATCGACAACAATTAGCGATGGATCTTGCGCGCACTTTTCCACAAGTTGGAGACTATTAATAACAGTGGCTTGGGCTCGATCACCGTCTGCATAAGGTTTTTGCCCAGCAACGGTTGCCATTTTGAAGACTGGAACACGATCATTCATTTCCACCACCTTGTATTGCGAGAGTTGTGACGTAGAAGGCATTAATGATGATGATGATGATGATGATAATGATGATGAAGGTAAAGATAATATGATTGAATAATAATAGCATACCAGCCCAATCATAAGCATGGATGCTATCCAAACTATTCGTTGATTTTGCATATGACACTGAGTTAATGAAAATGTGTTAGGCTAAATTCACATTTTTAATACGTAAAAGTAGTGAAATGACTTTTTTTTATTTTTTCTAAAAATAAGCTATCATAGGAAGTACTTTCTTGTTTAATTATGTAGATGGCCTGTGTTATACAGATTTTTGGTAGCATTCCCATCTACTTTTTGTAACTATTTCTTAGTTACAGTTGAGAAGCCAAATTAGTATCGAGGACCGTTCAAACTTTTTGCGCATTCATATACTTACTTTTTTGCAAAAGTTTCTAACTCATAATCGATTATCGCGATGAGAACCCCAAGGTGGTCAAATTTCTTGTGCTTTTACACGTTCGATTATTTTTTCTCTATTTCCACGACTTTTTCTGCTGTCTAAACCATTCATATAATATCAATAAGTGATACGCAGATGGATAGAAGTGTCTCTCTATCTATTAGCTTACATGCAAACGCACATAACAATCTTGCTACTTATCTATCAGCCTATTTTCTATCCATCTATCTGCCTAATTGCTTCTCTATTTACCTAATTATCCACTAATTACCTATTTAATTACATAACTCTGTATTACCCATCTAAATATATGTATGCCTATCTATCTATTAGCTGTATGTCTAACAATGTAATTACCTACTTCACTTATTATCCATCCATACGTCTATCAAGTCACGGTCACTATTAGATTTAAGTACAACTCGGCTTTTGTTTTGAATAAACAACAAGAACCACGGTTTGGACTTTCATCACTATTTATAGTAGAAACAGCTTTAGGTTTTTACAAAGCGAACAATCAATTTTCTTCGTTTTCATGTTAGATATATGTCCAGCTTTCAAGGCGTCCACTATCTGACTTGGATAAAATATAAATTTCCAGATGTCACACTGTGATTAGAAAGATCAGTACCCCTCTTGTCAAACAAAAAACACCAGTCTGACATGGCTAATCATTTTTGCTCAAAAGATATGAAGATTTGATTGGAGATCGTACATCATAATGTTTCATCACTTGAAACAATAAGAAATAGTTCTAAACATTATGTTACAACTTACTATGTATTCAACAAGAAAAGCAATACACTTTTTTGTCTATTGTAGACGATATTGTAAGTTTATAAAGTCGTAAGTTCTTTCTGGTTTTGCAGTTATTCAAAAAATGTCTGCTACTACTTAATGCTGCAATAAATATTAACAATCTATGTAAGGTACCGGTAATTCGAACTTCAAGTAAAATTTTCTTTTTCATCCTGTTTACATGTTTCGATAGAGCAATGGCTGCTGATTACGAAAAACTAATTCTTGGCATTAATGAATACTCTTTTCAGGTGACAAAAATAAAAAACTCAGGTGCCATTTTTCTTTCGAAATTTGTACAATTTTTGACATCGTTTTTCTTGCCAGCTTGTGAATATCCTATTTTTACACTCAGCGTTAAACATTGACTATATAAAGATGACTGTTGAAGAATAGAAAAGGAGTATATGTAACTACACAATACTAAATTTTACTTCCTTTCACTTTCGATAATTAATATCATTCAGAAAAATAAATGATGTGCTTCGTTCAGGAATCGAACCCATGATATGATTACTGGTTATCCGGACCACTGCTCTAACCATTGAGCTGTCGAAGCACGGCTAACACATCATTTATTTTTCTGAATGATATTAATTAATGGAAAGACAAAGGAAATAAAATTTAGTATTTAGTAATTACTATATAAAGATGTTAAATCAATTTTAATTCTTCAAGTCTTTTTTATAAACCTACCTAAGTAGTTTTTCTATTTAACCGAAAATCTTAAGTAGCTATTTCATCTTGTTCGATTCATCATAATAGCAATTACAAAAGTAGGCATGACTTTTGTTTTTATTTTGTTCTCTGCGTGAGAAATTGTGTTTACTTGTTTGTCATACACTGTTAAGTTAGTATTCAATGGTTTTCGAATTTAAATTGGATTTTTATATGAAAAGCAAGTACAAATTTGGAATCAGCACAGAAAACTGAGTCAAATAGAGGATATTTCAAGAGAATGACACAACTTTTATGTTTTACTCTGATACTTTAAATTTTAATACTCTTACTACAACCTGAAAAAATGACAAAAAAATGAATCTTTACTGAATTGAGTTGAAAGACCCTTCATGTGAATAGGCTTTTTGTGTTGATTCCAAATCTGTATTTGTTTTTCCAATAAAAATCTAATTTGAATTCAAAAGTCATTGAATATCAGCTAAAAAGATTATGGTAATCAAGTAAACACAATTTCTCAGTAAGAGAACAAAATAAAAACAAAAACCATCCCTACTTTTGTAATTGCTGTTATGATGAATCGAACAAGATAAAATGCTTGATCTTCTCGCTTAAATAGAAAAAATAGATAGGTTCATAAAACAGATTTTTCGGATTCAAATCGATTTAGCATATTTGTATACTCAATCTTTAACGGTGAATGTGAAAATAATATTTGCAAAAGCTAGCAAGAAAAACGACGTCAAAATTTCTGCACATTTCGAAAAAGAAATAACAATTTCCAACTTTTTGATTTTTGTCACCTGAAAAGAGTATTCATCAATGCCAAGAAATAGTTTTTCGTAATCAGCAGCTCGTCGTCTATCAAAACATGTGTAAACAGAATAAAAAAAAAGTATTTTGAAGTTGGAGTTGCCTACATCTTACTAATCTACTTATCTCTCTGCAAGTCTATATATGTATGGCTTTTAATTTTCTAAAAATGTATATTCCCTGTATCCATCTATGTGTCTCTCTGTTTATCAATGCAAAAAGCATGCCTTGAAAACAGACGTTGCGTAAGGTTAAAAACAGAGAACACACAACTCAGAATATGCTGAATAAAACAACAAAAGTAGGTAGTCAACAATGAAGGTAACAGACGAAATCAAATATAATGCAAATACAAAGATGAAGCGTAAGAGTTCTGACAATATTCAAAAGGTAAGAATGTGTTATACTAATCGTTAAAAACGAATATGCAAGATTATCAAATTTCATGTTTGTTATTGACTTTTCATTCTAGCTGACAATGAGCTTAGTTCAAGTTGAAGAGACAGAGAGAAAGATACGGATATGAGACAAAAGGAAAAGAAATTCAAAGTCCGGTACAACAATATTGCTTCGCAAATGTATTATACTTCTTCTTGATTCCACAGCTGATTGTCATACACATGAATATAAGAGAAAACGGATTAAAGCATCTAGACTGCTTATAAAAATAATAAAAATTTTATGAATGTGGATTTAAATGAAAAAATTAATTGGAGAAAGATTACATATAATAAAATAAGATGACTTGCACATCTCACACATGTTATCATTATTGTTAGAGACTCGATGGACGAAGATGAAACATGGAATGAGATATTTCTTCACTTTAGTGATATTCTTTATTAACTGTTCGAGAAACGAACGTACTTTTTATATCGTTCTATTTTTTACAAATGAATATCTATTTATTAAATCCACTTTTCATACGTACTCGAGATAAAATCAATTTTTTTGCATTTTATGAAACTCCCATATACTTAGGGTATGCCAAGAGTGGTGGCAGTTGATACTTTTTGATAGAAACATGTTAGAGGCTGCGATTTCATCGTTCGAAAGAGAAGATGAAGATGTATCGAATCATATATAGCATGTTTTCCTAATATGTTGTCTAATATCGTTTTAATCAATTTTTTAAGTGTTAGAAAAACTTTTTCTTATCAAAAATCAAACAACAAAAAACTTTTTTACAGTAGTTGCCAGAAAAATCACGTAAAGCTCCACCTAGAAGATCTATAACTTCTCAGCGGTTTATTCTATAGGTCAGAGCCTTGTGCAATTTCGTAAATCTTCCATCCGTGGTTTCAACACACATCCGACTATTGAGAATTCACTGTAAACACTTCACGGGTAAGTCTGTTTTCACAAAGACCAATTGAAAATCTTTAAAAACAGCCATATTAAAAAAAATATAATATACGACTCGATGTATCTTCGTCTCCTATGTCGAACGATGAAATCATTGTCTCTACCATGTTTCTATCAAAAGCTATTCAAAAACTATTAACTAAATAGGCATTAGTATTAATGTCACATATGATAGAAAAACAGGTCTTATCGAAATTTTATTATTACGATATTAAGTAACGTATAATCAAATATCACAGAAAGAAAGAGCATTCTTTTTAACATCATTGTATAAAAAAAAGAAAGCTTTTTCAAGTTTACTATACGGTATTAAACTGTCACTGCCATCACTTTTAGTATGCCCTAAATGTTTTCGAAGAAAATAATAGTAAGTGAAAGTTTAAATCGAAGTTTCTGCGGTTCCCCCATTACAAACCTTACCATGGAGGACAACAATGTAAGAAAAAAGAAGCCGCACGGCAGTAACAGTAATATTGAAGCTATTATAGAAAATTCTAGAATATTTCAATGCTTTCGTCAAAATTTGAATGGTATGAATATGTTTGTAAATGTTCGAAAAAGTTCAATTTTTGACTTTTGTGCAGTTAAAAAATTTATATTCAAGATATCTTGTTGTTGAAAATAGAGAATTCTTGATATCTGATTTTATAGTTTGCGATTGAACAAACCCATGTGTAATACAGCTTAGTGGACTAGTGAAAGATGAAAGAAGTAAAAAAAAAAAAATATGAAATTTTTGATTTTGGTACTCTTTGTAGGTATGTTGTCAGAAATACATAACGAATACAAATAAGAAAAAAAAACGACAATATATATATATATATGAATGCTATTTAATTCGAATCATTTATTGTATTACTTTTCGTTTTCATTTTATGAGAAGAAACATTAATCTTAAGGTAATGTATATATTAATGTTCTTTTGCCCGTTTTGATGACCTTATGAAAGAATCAATAGGATGAATAACAATGCCTTCACACCAATTTTATTATCTGATCTAGGCCATATCAAGTGCTGGCAAAAAAATACGAAAGACGTGATTTATTGAATGCTCCATATGTA